TTCTGTTTTAATTTTTTAACTCCATTTTAATGGTTAAATTAAATTTTAGTCATCCAAAAGCATGCCTAATTAATTGAAATCATGAAACTTATACAATTTAACAGCAATTTATTAAAAGTTTACGTTTAGGGCTCCATGAAATAAGTTTTTAAGACCAAATTGTGTGTTTTCTGTTTTAAGTTTTCATTTGAATGGTTTAATACAATTTTAATAATCAAAAAGCATGTCTAACTAATTGAATTCATAAAACAACAATTTATTAATCTATATATTTAAATAAATCGGGTTCATATTTAAATAGTCTTTTTGCGGATGAATATTCACAGACACTAGTCTATATCGTGATTTGATACTGATACTGGCTTTTTATTAATTCATCAACATTTTTACAAATCCGCGTTATAGGCTACAGTAAATTACATTTTTATGACTGGATTCTGTGATTCCGGACATGTTTTCCATATTGCAGAAATATGGCTCTACATTCAGAGTAAACCACGACTGTCGCTCAGTCTCATTAGCATTGGCCCGAAATATCAACAAGTCCCGGCTCAGCCAATAACGTGAGTTTGGGGCGGGGCTTCTCTGGCAGGTGTGTGCTGTGCTCTACAGGACATGTTTGTGTGTGTGTGTGTGTGTGTGTGTGATGTGCAGTTGCTCAGCATGTGTTGCACGTATAAGGCCGATCACTCAAGTGGGTCCCTGAGGCGTTCAGTGTGTATGACAGACACACACACACACACACACACACACACACACACACACACACACACACACACACACACACACACACACACACACACACACACACACACACACACACACACACACACACACACACATCACTACAGCTCATCTGAACGACTGACCCAGAGGTATAAAGTAAAAAGCCTTTCATCAAAAACACCACCTTTATTCTCGGTTAAGGTTTTTTGAAAAAGACTTCCAAATCTTTTCCCGGCTAACTCCAGCAAACGCTCGCGTCGGGTCGTTCACTGATGTGAGAGAATATCGACTGAAGTTTTGCTCTGAAAATAACAGCACATCCGAAAAGTACAGAACAAGGTCTGATAGGATCATGACAGCCAGCCACCTGACAGTTTAATGTAATGTTAACCCATAAAGCTAAGTGGTTTCTTAAGTTTGATAATTAATCTGCTATGTCATGTTTATGACATATTTATGACAATTTATGTTGTCATTACCAAGACATCTCAAACAATGTCATATTTGCATTTAAAATGTCATAATTGAGTGAATGACACTTAATGACAGTTGTCATAAACATGCATAAACCCTCCTTCATGTGTCCTGTCATGATTATGAAGGTGTCATGTCAGTCTTATGCACACCCCTTCAAGTAAAGTGTTGTCAAATATTTCAACTCAGATCAATATTTCATGTCCAGTTATTTACTGATGTGGCAAGTATCCGTGTTATAACGGGATAATGTACATCCAGTCGGTTGTTAGATCAGAATAAACCCGACAGGGTGATCAGGAGCAGGTCTTCATCAGCCTGAGGGGGTTTATTCTGAGATCACACACACACACACACACACACACACACACACACACACACACACACACACACACACACACACACACACACACACACACACACACACACACACACACACACACACACACACACACACACACACACACACACACACACACACACACACACACACATGTTGGTGCAACAGCATTATGAGGACTCTCCATAGGCGTAATGGTTTTTATACCGTAAAAACTATATATTCTATCCCCCTACACTGCCCCTATCCCTAAACCTACCCATCACAGGAGACATGCAGCATTTTTAATTTTTTAATAAAACATTGTTTTTTATGTTTTTTAAGCCATTTGATTTATGAGGACTTTTGAAATGTCCTCATAAACCACCCATAAGTTGTAATACCAGTGTAATACACATGTCATTATACAAATTTGTGTCCTCATAAATCACATAAACCAACTCACACACACACACACACACACACACACACACACACACACACACACACACACACACACACACACACACACCTGAAGGGGTTTATTCTGAGATCACACACACACACACACACACACACACACAGACACACACACACACACACACACACACACACACACACACACACACACACACACACACACACACACACACACACACACCTGAAGAGGTTTATTCTGAGATAACAACCGGCTGGATGTACATTATCCCAAACTTAATGTGTTACTTTGTTGTTAATTTTATTACTAACTTTTCAAATCAGTGACTGATACTCCTGTGTATGTGTGTGTGTGTATGCGTGCGTGTGTGTGTGTAGGAACAGCTTCCTCACATGCTAATCTCACACACTGCACACTGACGAATGGAGAGCCGGAGAGAGAGCTGGGCGAGAGGTTCTCCTGAAGGTCACAGATCACTCACGGCTGCGATCCGTCCACGCCGGGACAGAAATGGCTTTATAATGACTTTGCATTACGCTCTATTAGGACACAACATTGATGTTTCTCTGCAGGATCTCTTTGCTCTCGCTCTGTTTGTTCTCAGAGTTTTAATGGCCGCCATTTTCACGTACCTATACTACGCACTGCAGATTTCTTTAGCAAACAAGACGGTGTTGAATGTGGAAAAACAGGTCTGGATATTAATGATAATCACATACATCAACGACAAATGCTGCAAAACACGAAACACAAACACAGTCCGAGCTACAACTGTCAATAGTGTTTCAGTGCTAATGAGAGCGCCGGAGGGAGGAGAGCTTCTCCTCAGTGGTCTGTAAACGGATGTGAGCATGTGGGCCGGCAAAGAAAATCGGATATTAGATAAAAAAACAAATGCATAACGTCTGAAAGGAGAGCGCTAGACAGAAATGACGCATATCATAAAGCCAAGAGGGAATCAATGCAGAATCCTGTGGAACGGCTCCAAATAACGCCTTATAACGGCTAAATAACACCTAATAACAGCTAAATAACGCCTAATAACAGCTAAAGAACACCTAATAACGGCTAAAGAACACCTAATAACAGCTAAATAACGCCTAATAACAGCTAAATAACACCTAATAACAGCTAAATAACGCCTAATAACAGCTAAAGAACACCTAATAACGGCTAAAGAACACCTAATAACAGCTAAATAACGCCTAATAACAGCTAAATAACACCTAATAACAGCTAAAGAACACCTAATAACGGCTAAAGAACACCTAATAACAGCTAAATAACGCCTAATAACAGCTAAATAACACCTAATAACGGCTAAATAACGCCTAATAACAGCTAAATAATGGCTAATAAAGCCTAAATAACACCTAATAACAGCTAAATAACGCCTAATAACAGCTAAATAACACCTAATAACAGCTAAATAACACCTAATAACAGCTAAATAACGCCTAATAACAGCTAAATAACGCCTAATAACAGCTAAATAATGGCTAATAAAGCCTAAATAACACCTAATAACAGCTAAATAACGCCTTATAACAGCTAAATAACGCCTAATAACAGCTAAAAAAACGCCTTATAACGGCTAAATAACGCCTAAGAACAGCTAAATAACGCCTAATAACAGCTAAATAACGCCTAATAACATCTAAATAGTGCCTAATAATGGCTAAATAGCGCCTAATAACAGCTAAATAGCGCCTAATAACATCTAAATAGTGCCTAATAATGGCTAAATAGCGCCTAATAACAGCTAAATAGCGCCTAATAACATCTAAATAGTGCCTAATAATGGCTAAATAGCGCCTAATAACAGCTAAATAATGGCTAATAACGCCTAAATAACACCTAATAACAGCTAAATAACACCTAATAACAGCTAAATAACGCCTAATAACAGCTAAATAATGGCTAATAACGCCTAAATAACAACTAATAACAGCTAAATAACACCTAATAACAGCTAAATAACGCCTAATAACAGCTAAATAACACCTAATAATGGCTAAATGACACCTAATAACAGCTAAATAATTTATCTGACAAAATGATCGACTACAGCAACAGGTTTTATTTTAATACGCACAAAAAATGCATACAAAACCAAAAAGCATAATCAGATATTAATATTTCATTGGCTCTCTCTTGTTTTTGCATGTGTTTCTGGCTAAAAAACATGTTGGCACGATTTGTCATCTTTCATTGCGTTATCACAAATTGACTTCAAGCACAACTCGACGATATGCTGACAAAAACTTTAAGACATTTTTTATGATATTTGAATAAAGGGTGAAGATGTCAGTTTTCCAGTGAAGAATCCGAGCTATTGTCTATTTAGATCATCTCAGTAATCCAAGTATACGGACAAAGTCATTGCCCATTCCAGCAAGAGAGAAGGGTTGCCAAATATTCATCTCTCTCTCTCTCTACCCTCCCTCTCTCTCTCTCTCTCTTTCTCTATCCTCCCTCTCTCTCTCTCTCTCCCCCCCCCCTCTCTCTCTCTCTATACTCTCTCTCTCTCTATCCTCCCTCTCTCTCTCTCTCTCTCTCTCTCTCTCTCTCTCTCTCTCTCTCTCTATCCTCCCTCTCTCTCTCTCTCTCTCTATCCTCCCTCTCTCTCTCTCTCTCTCTCTCTCTCTCTCTATCCTCCCTCTCTCTCTCTCTCTCCCCCCCCCCCTCTCTCTCTCTCTATACTCTCTCTCTCTCTCTCTCCCTCTCTCTCTCTCTCTCTCTCTCTCTCTCTCTCTCTCTCTCTCTATCCTCCCTCTCTCTCTCTCTCTCTCTCTCTCTCCCCCCCCTCTCTCTCTCTCTATACTCTCTCTCTCTCTATCCTCCCTCCCTCTCTCTCTCTCTCTCTTCTGACATGGTTCTCCGTGAAACTCTTATCATCTCTGATGAAACAACGGCCAGTTTACAACCCAAAGCGTCTTGGCATCGTCAGAGCAACATCTGTGTGTGTGTGTGTGTGTGTGTGTGTGGCCCTCGACGGCTGGGCAAACCTGCAGAAGAGTGAGTCTGGAAGATAATCAGTACCTCGGCACGAGGGTAATGTGGCGCTCCAGGTGCCGTTGCGAGTGCAGGTCCGGATAAACACACTCCCGTTCTCCATCAGGAACCCGGGCTGGCAGGAATACGTCACGTTCTGTCCAACGGTGAACTCCTCGCCGAACCTCAGACCACTGGCAGGAACGCCTGGATCCCCACAGCTGATCACTGTCACACACACACACACACACAACATCATTATACTGAGAACCCACTGCACACACACAACATCATACACCACTGCACACACACAACATCATACACCACTGCACACACACACCACTGCACACACACACCACATCATGAAACTGTCTCCAGGGGAAATATAACTAAACTAACAGGTTCTGTTACAGTTGTGCCGGTCGCACTGATGATATACCGGTCAAGCCTCGGGCTCGACGCTACAGCTCGCAATCGTAATGGCAAAGCATTATAGTAGGACTCGTTCCAGCAGCATTACCGTACGGCAATAATATTCAGCAGTAAACAAGCAGTTATAGATCATAACATTAGGAAGAATCTCGAACTATTGCTCGTGATCACAGACTCACACAGAAAGGTTTCGGGTCGGTATGATTAAAAAAAGCAAGGATGCATTAAATTGATATTTTTTATCAAAGATTCCTGAGAAATTAAATATATCACGTTTTCCAAATTTTTTCAACATCGATAATAATCATAAATGTTTCTTGAGCATCAAATCATCATATTAGCCTGTAAAACACCCTAGCAACCATATAACATTTTCAAAATATAAATAACATGCACAGATGAATTGTGCATAAATAACATGCATTAATATGTACATCATATTTGCTGAAGTCTGCATCATTAATGATTATATTTTCCTGTTTATTATTGTGAAGGTGCTTTGAAACATTTTCTATCATATGAAGCGATATAGAAATAAAGCTGACATGATTGGATAATCTGTTTTAAAAAGGCCTAAATTTAATATTTATGAATTTGAATCACATATAAAAATTGTATTACACAGTTTTAACAGAGTAAACAAACTAATAAACTTAATGTGATGCACATTTTTAAATGAAACATGTCAGATTTCTTTAATAGTACTAATAAACCAAATGTATTTTTAATACACAATAATACACTCATATATTTATCATCAACAAATCCAATTTCTTTCAGTCTCATACATTTGAACTAATTGAATATTACTCGTTCCACAGCTAGTCATAATTGAACCACGTTCAAACTTTTTAACTGAATAGATTTAATTGTTTTCACATTGAACAGATTTATTTGAAAAATATAAAAATACAATCAAATCAAACACATGCAAATATCAGTGTTATTTTATCAATGAAAAACTATTATAGTTTTTAATATTAAATGTTTATTGTTTTTACTTTTATATTTTCCATTTTCAGTTTAATTTTCATTCATAATTAAAGTTTTAGTAATTTGTTGTGTTTTTGTCATTTTTAATAGTTTTTAAATTATGTCTATACAGTTTTTTCAGTTTTAGTTTTAGTTATATTAGTACTTCAAGTTGAACTAAAAGCAAATGAGTAATGCTGAATAAAATAAGTTTCAGTTTTTTATTTCAGTTAATGCTTAATGTATTTTAAGTAAATATTTATGGTTTTAGTTTCAATTGTAGTAGTTAACCCTGAAAAAAAAGAAATCTGACATGTCAAACTGGTATAACGTCAACGATTAAATGACATTTCCAAATGACAAATTCTCGCTTTGTTCTGACTGAAATGGAACTTTTAAAATGCATGCGAACGCAGAGCATTAGGGGTGGGGCTTCCTGTTGGACCAATCAATGTCAGGCGGGGGGCGTGTCTGAAAACATTGATCATTTGTGCCATTCTGAAACACTGACTTCACCTTTAACATCCACAGTTTATCATGTCGGATCAACACAGAGCGTCCCATCTGAGCGCTGAGTAATTCCTGCACTCCCCCGCTCATTATTCCCCACTACCCCGACATCAATCTCCCATTACCCGTCAGGGAGAGATCGATTCGGCCTGTCAGCTCATCCTGCTATTACTTATACAGCGACGCTAATAAATCTGGCTGCATTAATGAGATTTCTCATGAGGTCTGAGCAACAACATCACTCCGTTTGGCTAATTACAAATGGACAGCTTGTTGTTACGGTAAGCCTTTTCCAACATTAACCAACACTCTAAAAAATCTTGGGTTATTTTTTCTACCCAAATCCCGGGTTAAGCCTTTTGGGTAATATTTTGGGGATATTTTTTCAGTGTTTGGGTAGTTTTTGTGTTACCCAGCTCCTGGGTCAGACGTCTTAACCCAGTGTCTCGGTAGTTTTTGTGTTACCCAGCTCCTGGGTCAGACGTAACAACCCAGTGTTTGGGTAGTTTTTGTGTTACCCAGCTCCTGGGTCAGACGTAACAACCCAGTGTTTGGGTAGTTTTTGTGTAACCCAGCTCCTGGGTCAGACATAACAACCCAGTGTTTGGGTAGTTTTTGTGTAACCCAGCTCCTGGGTCAGACATCACAACCCAGTGTTTGTGTGCTTTTTGTGTAACCCAGCTCCTGGGTCAGACGTAACAACCCAGTGTTTGGGTAGTTTTTGTGTAACCCAGCTCCTGGGTCAGACGTAACAACCCAGTGTTTGGGTAGTTTTTGTGTAACCCAGCTCCTGGGTTAGACGTCACAACCCAGTGTTTGGGTAGTTTTCTTGTGTAACCCAGCTCCTGGGTCAGACATAACAACCCAGTGTTTTGAATAGTTCTTGTGTTACCCAGCTCTTGGGTCAGACGTAACAACCCAGTGTTTGGGTAGTTTTGTGTAACCCAGCTCCTGGGTCAGACGGATCATCCCAGTGTTTGGGTAGTTTTTGTGTAATCCAGCTCCTGGGTCAGACGTCACAACCCAGTGTTTGGGTAGTTTTCTTGTGTAACCCAGCTCCTGGGTCAGACGTAACAACCCAGTGTTTGAATAGTTTTTGTGTTACCCAGCTCTTGGGTCAGACGTCACAACCCAGTGTTTGGGTGAATTTTGTTGTAATCCAGATCCTGGGTCAGACGTTACAACCCAGGGGTTGAGTTATTTATTGCGGGCGTTTTGTGACCTCTTCAGGAGAGAGCAGTGCAGCGCCGTCAAACTGGTGCGTGTCTTCGGTAAAATTCAGGTTTGTGTACATTTCATTTTATCTATAAATACGTTATTGTTCTGTATATCGTTTAATTTTATGCAAAGCAACATACAGGGGCGCGATGAGATGTGAGTCACCTAAACGAGTATTGTATGTATTTAATATGTATTAAAAATGATATGTACTATACAGTCAAATATGATAAAAAAAATAAAGGAATTATGCAAGTCAGTGGTTTTATCAAGTTATCAAGTATTTTAAAAAAGTGTAGAGGATTTAAGTTAATCAGTAGACATTAATTCATGTATGAAGTAAAAAAATAATTAGCCAGTATTATAGTGAGAATCAACTATGCTGGGTTAAATAAACAACCCAATTTGCTGGGTAAAATTAACCCAACATGTGTTATGTCCTATATTTACCCAGCTCTTGCGCTGAAAACAACCCAGTGAAAAAAAGACCAGATTAAGGAGGATTTGAACTCTTACGGGTGCAGTTGGGCTCGGCGCCAGACCAGGTCCCGTTGGCCAGGCACTGCCGAGATGGAGAACCGGAGAGACGGTATCCTTCCACACACGAGTAGATGATGGAGTGAGAGAAACTAGTGCCATGAACACGCAAGATCTGCCCGTTAGCCGGAGTCCCGGGATTCCCACACTGAACAGCTATTGGATGGAAAAGATTCAATTCACATTTATTTGTATAGCGCTTTCACAATACACATCGTTTCGAAGCAGCTTTACAGAAAATGCATTACAATTTCGCTTTGTTCTGACTGAAATGGAACTTTTAAAATGAACGCAAAGCATTAGGGGGCGGGGCTTCCTGTTCGACCAATCAATGTCAGGCGGGGGGTCCACATTACCTTGTACAGTGATGTGTTATCAGAGGAAACTGTCTAAGTTATGTATTTCAGAAATGTACATATACAAAACACAGTTAGCTAAAAAATTATTAATTTAAACAATGTAATAATTTAAGGCAGAGACAATGAGCTCATTGAAGTAATGGATACTTGATTAGCATTCGTAGAGAATCACTCGAGTCATTCCTTCCATGAAAATGAATATGCTTGTGATTAAAGGAAGAATTTGCATAAAATGGCATTGCAGACATTCTGAGAATTTGCCTTGGGCCAATTAACTAAACTAAAACTAAAACTATTAAAAATCACTTTTGGTAGTTAAAAAATAATGTTGAAATAAAATAAAACATTAGATGAAAAACTTGACAAAATGTGGCCATGGCGACTAACTGAAATAATATAAGTTTATAAGAAATAAAATAAGTGTAAGTTGAGGTACTTTTTAGGCTTTTCTAGAACAGGTTTGCATGGATTATTCCCTCATATTCTCCATTGTTGCGGCTCCTCTCTTCCCAGTCTGTCAGTAACGCTCTGTTTACTTCCTGTCTCTATGAAGCCCCTCCTTCTGAAAGCACACTGTGCTCTGATTGGTCGGCTGGATCAGTGTGCTGTGATTGGTCGAGCGCTTAGAGTGTGTTTGGGAAATGTCCCGCCCCTTCCCATAACCGCCAGTTTAACACACTACTAACTAACTCAACCAGGCCCCGCCCCTTTATTCTGCGCATTAATTATTATAATGAGGAATATTGTGACGTGTTCGTTCCCGGAAGAAACTCAAGACTACAATGGAGGCGTTTCAGGAGATCAGAAGGAGGGACTTTGGAAACTCTTTTAATGCAGAATAGGTTCTTTTTTAATAAATACCATAAATAATACTACAATAATCACTCAAGCTCAGCCACTTTATTAAGTTAATTAGATTATCCTGGATTGATTTTTCGAGCCCAGAATGTACTGTATCTAATAGATTTCCATGAGTTTTCTCCACTCACACACGGGTCGAGTGGGTTAAATCACAGGGAGATGTTGGTGTTTGTTCAGCCTGGAAAATCACAGTGTGGCATGATGGGATTTAATGCAAGACAAGCTGTTAGACCAGAACTGCGTAGCAAAAACATTCAAGCTTGAGAAATTTCCGCCTCCTGGGACCTGCACGCTAACAATCTGTTTTATAGCCCAGCAATAACCCGTCACCCCCGAGACCACTCGGACAATACGTCAGGCGGAAAGAGCTGGAAAAGAAAAAACACCTGTGCCATTTGCTCTGGTGCAACAAGGTCGTGTTTACCGGGGATTACAGGACACTGTGACACCGGCTTGTTTGATGCGTATCAGTGTACAATATTCAATAGTCGTCATTTAAATTATTCATACGCAGAATAAAGGGGCGTGGCCTGGTTGAGTTAGTTAGTAGTGTGTTGAAAACCAAGCGGCAACCTTCCTGTCTCTCTCTTGAATCAACACTGAAGTGATTAAACTGCAGTTCCTCCACTGGCCACTAGAGGCCGGCTGCAGAAGAGACTCAATCCCATAGACCCGCATGTTAAAATGCCCAACTTTACAGCAGAATTAAACATGTTTACAGCCTGGTGCAAAAAGTGTTTTTGGTCTATATCGCTATTTTTATCCTTCATGACGACTGTGAGGGGGGTGAATATTTTTATAACTCATCCGTTTAAATTATATTAAGCCTTAAAGTTCTGCATAATTAAGGGCGTGGCCACTTGAGTGACAGGTGGATTGCCGCTGATGTCACTACTAGCCGTTTGTCTGCTGTGTGTTAGCGTCACCTCAGCTAATCCGCCTCGCTGCACATTTACGTTTATCCGGGAGTGACACGCGGCCAAGATGGCGACGGCCGGCTCCGCCCACTTTGGGCTTAAAAAACACTACGGGTGACGTCACACACACTACGCACATATTTATTTACAGTCTATGGCAGGGGTCGGCAACCTTTTTGTCAGGAAGTGCCATTTTTAAGTTTATATTATTATTATATTATTCAGAGTAATATATAATTTAACAGCGGCAATTACGGCTGCATTCGTGTAGTGTTTGCGTGTGTCTCGAAAGTTACAAATAAAGCCAAAATAAGCTTGACTTGTCAATCATCTCGATGGACGACGCAGAGGAAACGCTGACCAATAAGAGGACAGTTGTACTCGCATGTGACTTGCGTGAACACATTTTGCTAGGCTTTGAAAGGTTGCCTTGTGAAAGCGAACCGAAGCAAGAAGAAAATGTAACACATTAAGCAATCAATAGGTGTGAAAACACCCTTAGTCGCTTTGGATAAAAGTGTCTGCCAAATGCATAAATGTAAATGATGATTTTTGTTTTCTCCTCACGTTTGCAGGTGGGCTGCCGGCCCGACCACGTGGCGTTGGGGAAGCAGATGCGCTCGGCCGAGCCGTAGAGTGTGTGTCCCGTGGAGCAGGTGAAGCGCACTTTAGCGTGTTGCTGGAAGCTTCCCTCCTCTCGCGTGGCGTGAGCCGGTGTTCCCGGATCCCCACAGCCGCCTCGCTTATCGCCTGAGGGACACAAACACACACTTCTGCAAACCTCATTCCACCAGATAAGAGAGAACATGCATTTTTCTGCAAGGATAGAAACAAAAAGCATGTCTCTTCTAGGGGGGAAACAGTGACAGTGAGTTAGTGGAAGTGTGTGTGCGACCCATGGGAACCTGCAGATATTATTACAACATGATAAACCAGAATCATCTTCAACGGGCTCATTTTGACTCTCCAATATACATGGATGCTCCCTAAATAAATAAATACAACACACAGATATGAAATATTGATTTGACTGTATTAATAATATACAGTATATGCAAATATGTATATATGCTTCAATATTTTTAGTGAAAAGACAAAAATTTACACAAATAATTAGTATTCTGAAATTAATATTTCATTTAGCAAAGACACATTAAACGGATCAAACGTGACAGTAGAGACTTTTACATGAACACAAAAGATTTATTTAAAAAAAATGCTGTTCTTTTGAACGTTCAGTTTAAAACTAAAATATTACACAACATTGATAATAATAATCATAAATGTTTCTTGAGCATCAGATCCTCATATTAGAGTGATTTCTGAAGGATCATGTGAGACTGAAGACTGGAGTAATGATGCTGAAAATTCAGCTTTGATCACAGGAATAAATTACACTTTACTGTATATTCACGTAGAAAACTGATATTTTACAATGTAAAAATATTTAAAAATTTTTACTGTAGTTTTGATCAAATAAATGCAGCCTTGGTGAGCAGAAGAGACTTTCAAAAGCATTAAAAAATTATATTTTTCCACTAAACATCTCAATATAAAACAACTGAATATATTTTTCAATAATATTAAGCAAAAATTAATTAACTAGAATTAAATATGACTATTCACACCAGGCATGTCAAAACATCCACATGAAATCTAGACATTTCATTTGTAGTTCACATCTCTTTTCTCACCCTTCAAAACTCAAACTCAAAAGTAAATGTTGATCACAGATGCGGCCGTCGGGATTCAATGGATCGAAGAAAGTGGAAATCATATTATATTTTGACAGACCCGCTCAGTGCTGTATTAGAGACGTTATAAACGTGAGTGGAATCGGCTTCATTTGCCCCTGCGAATCTCAGCGGGAACGCTCTGTCCTCTGAGCTGTCAATCACAACGCTGCGTCAGAAGAACTTCCTGTGCATGAAAATACTATTGTGTTGAGCTTACACTGGAAAACATGATTAACGGTAAAAGACCGTAAAAATGCCACGGTGAAAAACGGTTAACAGAAAGTTTCCGTACTGAACACGGTAAATAACTGTGATAAATCGAATTTACATTTAATGTAATTTTACAGTAAAATACCGTTGAATTTACAGTTTTTGGAAGAGAAAAAGAACAAGTCATAGTTTACAGTGAAAAACAGTAAATTGACATTCCCACAATTCCCTGCGTGACACTTCACATTTGATGTATTTTGACTGTTTTATATATACTGTTTCTTCATAGTTTTTTTCTAATCAGGTATGTACATTAGGGTTTTATGTTACATGTAATGTTGTTAAATTAATGTTTATTGCATTTTTAAAATTTCATGTGTGTTACCATGATGGTGTTTAATGTTTGTGCGAATAACACTGTGCAGCTTCTGTATATTAATATTAACTTTCTCATCTTGTGGAAAAGCTTTGATTGATCATGTGACTCTCATCTCCGCTGTGATTGGTGGTTGTCAATGTATTACAATGGTACAAAACAGATATTAGTACTTCAATAGATCGGTACATTAACATTATATCAGATACTGAAATATGCTTTTTTTACTGTAAATTTAAGTTAAGTCTAAAATAAACCTAAAATGTTGCAACCGTATTTTTTACGGTAGATTCTGGCAACCACATCTGACATTTTTTACCGTAAATTTAACTTTTTTAAAATTGTTTTACAGTGTACACAATCTTTTTGCTCACCTTACTTGTATGATTATGTAGAGATATGAACTCTGACAGCCAATAGAAAAGCAAAAACTATGACAAAACATATTTATTTAGGTCACACTGTATTTCAATGGTCCATTTAGACATTCTACTGACTATAATTAACTTTGTAATTACATGTGAACTTATTCTACTAACCCGAACAGTGGACTAATACTCTAATAAGAGTTAGTAGACATGGAGTCTATAGTAAGTAGAACATCTAAATTGGACTATCGAAATAAAGTGCAACCTTTACTTGTTTTAGCAATGTTTGGATATATTTATTGGGGAAAAAATACAACAATGCAGATTTTTATGTTTTTAAAAGAAGTCTCTTCTGCTCACCAAAGCTGCATCTATTTGATCAAAAATACAGTACAAATTGTGAAATATTATTGCAATGTTAAATATCTGTTTTCTATGTGAATATACAGTAAAGTGTAATTTATTCCTGTGATCAAAGCTGAATTTTCAGCATCATTACTCCAGTCTTCAGTGTCACATGATCCTTCAGAAATCACTCTAATATGATGATTTGAAACATTTATGATTATCATAATTTTTGTGCAAACCGTGATACAATTTTTCAGATTTTTTTGACACAAAATAAAGCTCAAAAGAACGGCACTTAAAAAAAAAAAAAAAAAACCTTACACAATCTTCTTGATTATTTTGTACAGTGTACACAATCGTTTTGCTCACCTTACTTGTATGATTAGAGATATGAACTATGACAGCCAATAGAAAAGAAAAAAACATTGACAATCTTTTTATTCCTGGAAACATCTTCCAATATCTTTCGAATAAACTTGGGATCGTGCAATATTGCTGGATCTGTGACAAACTGCTTATTTTCCTCTTTGGATAAAAGCTTCAGCTAAATGCATTAATATTGCACAAGACTATCAAATATAAAGGTGTTTTTTTCTTTCACACAAGAAAGAAACTCTCATATACGGGTTTGGAACAACATGAGGGTGAGAAATGTTCACTTTTGTGTGAATTATTCCTTTTGAAAACACATATTGCAATTTTGAAGAGCAAAAAAAACAGGCGAAATTCTCCAGAGGAAGAGTTGAAGACACGTGTGTATGTTGCTACTGACGAGGAGAAGCATTAGCAGGCGTGTGTGAGATGCGACACCTTCCTAATGACAGTGTGAGAAGCAACAGGCTATCAGTTATCATCTAGCGGCCGCCAGCAGAAACCATTAGCATTAATAATTATGGTGAAATATTCATCGAACCGATCTGGACGGCCCAGACAGGAGCAGCGAGACCCAGACCGAGCCAGTTGACGACACACACATCAAATCCTTATTAATTACACGGACGACCAGCCTGAGGAGCATCAGGAGTCCAGACTCAGCAGACAGAGGAGGCAGTGGCTGAAACAAGCCGTAGGGCAACTGTCATCATCAGCATGCACACACACACACACACACACACACACACACACACACACACACACACACACACACACACACACACACACACACACACACACACACACACACACACACACACACGCACACACA